ACAGCGTTATAAACCTTTTTCTTATTCAATATCAAGCCACACTTATTGTTTTTACTTCGGCTGTGAGTGTTTGTGTGTGCTCAGGATGAGTTTTGCTTGTTCTCGCTTTATTGCCGACCCGGAAACGTGTCCGCTCCTCGCAGTAGCTCACAGCAGCTCGCAGCAGCGGCGAGCAGCAATGAGCCTCGCAACGTCCCGACCAATCAGAGCACACTGGGCTCACAGGGAGGGGGGGAGCAGGAGCTCCAACAAGCCGTTTAGGACAGAGAGTGAATACACATAGATGCTGTATGAGAAACCAATGTGATTTTGGAACATTGCACAATTTAAATCTATTCCAGTGTACCTCAAAAATGGAAATATGATCAGTAGAAATGGCCATGACATGGGATGGGACCTTTAATCTGTAATGTAATAATATAAAATGCTGAATGATTCCTAGTTCTCAAATCGCTATTTGAGCATGAATAATGTAAGCATAATTTGGAAGCCCACGTTCTTTGACAATCAGTGCCTTTCTGGAGTTTACATTGCTGCACACTTTTCCTAAACATCAAGTGACGTCGAACATGGCATTACCTCAGCAGTTAACACTTTTATAGTATTTTGGGCATTTTTAAGTGTTTCTGATGGTGTGTGTGTGTTCAAGCCAACTTAATTAATTTAATCTCAATGAGTCTTTTACCTGGTTAAATAAAGGATATATATTAATGTTTCTGATCGTTAACTTTAATATTTCTCACTGAGCCCCTAATGGTAAATATATTGTATGTTATTGTTATTGTTTGTAGTCAGATTATATGACTTAAAGACAGAAAGAAAGAAAATAGCAAGTGTACATACAGAGTTTACAACTCCCTTATACCAGGGCAGCAATTTTGTTTTTGGACACCAGTCAAAGATAACAGCTGTACACTTTGCAGGTTCAGTGAACTCTACCAGCTCCTGGCAGCCAGCTATTCCTCTGGGAGAGTATCATAATTAGAAACGTTTTGGGTCATCTTAAAAAAGGGGCCTGCATTTAGAAGTGAACGAAGGAAGAAAAAACACTTTGAAAGCAGAATAAAGCAGTGGCGGAGGGGTAAAGGGGAATAAAGTAAGAATCACTGTAAGGTTCTTGTAAAAATACATTACATTACATTACATTGCATTTAGCTGACGCTTTTATCCAAAGCGACTTACAATAAGTACATTCGACCAGGAAGATACAACCTTGAAGAAAACAGAATCATATAAGTACATCAGGTTTCATAGAGCCAAACATTTCAAGTGCTACTCAACTGGCTTTAGATAAGCCAGTCCTTTATTAGTATATAAGTGCTTTGTTAGTAATTCTTTGTTAGTAATTCTATCGCTCGAAGTGGAGTCGAAAGAGATGAGTTTTCAGTCTGCGCCGGAAGATGTGCAAGCTATCTGCTGTCCTGATTTCAATGGGGAGCTCATTCCACCATTTGGAGCCAGGATAGCAAACCCATGTGTTTTTGCTGNACCTGTCTATGCTGCCCCAGAACGCCTCGTTGGAGATTTCTCTTTTTCCATTGTTGTTGATTTGGGTATTCACACGTCACAGAACCCAGAAAGAAAACAATGGAAAAAGAGAAATCTCCAACGAGGCGTTCTGGGGCAGCATAGACAGGTCTTTTCTGTGTTAGAGTTTTACTCCCTACAGGGT